CCTTTGCACTCCGCGGCGAGCCTTATCTTGTGCGGTTTGTTCGGATTGCGCACTACAAACATTGGCAGGTACCATTTCCTCGGATGATGTTCCTTAATTTCGCTAGCACTTAGTTTCCGTGTATATCCCTTTTCCTCCATGTTATTTATCTGATTACTGACACAAACTTTCAACTCAGGATCTCCTTTTAACTTCTTCTCAAAACATGTTAGTCTGTGCAGAGCCATCAAATAATTATCCGGCATTATAATGCTCTCCGTTTTCCACAGTAGTTTGACTACAAAATGTTGTTTGTCGCGTACAATCTTCTGTTGCATTTTCTTCCTGATCTCTGCTGAATTAGCATGCACGGATATCGCATTCTTTCTCTTGATATATGCATTCTGTAACTATCTTTTGCAGTGCTACATCGTCATCACATTCACAAATATGAAATTGTAGATTGGTATCGCTTTGACGCTCTTCACGATTAACCACGCCATACACCGTCCAGCCGATGCGCGTTTTGGGAGCTGCAGGCTCACATGCCTTGCCTTCTCGAAATTTCGACGGAATCGCTAAGTGCTTATTGATCAATCCAATAATGACCTGTGGTATAACACCGCAGTACGATTCCTTGGGCATTCCACGTAAGTGCCTATATTTGGCCGCGAGCTCCTCTACATTTAATGTTTGCTGAGGCAGATCAAGCGCCTCTACAGAGTGCACGTTATGTAACCCAAGCCTCTGGTTCTTCCCACGAGGAGAAATTTCTAAGTCGATCACCTCTGAATTCTTCTCGACGCGTATCGTACCATCGGTCCATCTGAGGCATAAATCTTTATTTTTTCCTTTTAGCTGCAATAGCTGCAACACACTCTTCTCTATTAGCGTGGGACCAGACCCGTCATCAAGAAAGGCGTTCACGTCAACTGAAATTCCGTTTCCATAAATTGTTATCGAAGCCACACGATAAAGCGTATTAGAGGTCTCTTGTCCACCATGGCTGTAACAGCGTTGTTACCAGGTGCTTCCTTGGGTTTATGAAGCATCGGGTTGTGCCTTCGGTCGCAATTTTTCACACCACACACTCTGTTCTCTCGGCAGGATTTTATGTCATGCTTTTTCAGGCATACCTTACACAGCTTCAAATCGAGCACTGCTTTCCATTTTTGGTCGTAGCCCAGCTTTTTGAATTTATCACACTTCATTATGAGATGTGCCTCCTCACAAAAATAACAGGCCAACTTTCGCTTTACAGACCCAGTGGACCCAGTCCTAGCTTCTAGTTCCTCGTTATGGAAGCTCACTCGGTGTACCCTACGCTTTTCTGTTTCTGAATTAGCTAGTGTGGTAACCGATGCAACGTTGCTAGCCGCGTCTGCTAAATCAAAAAGCCATTCGCTAAATACTTTTACGGTAGTTATCGCATATGACCGGGAGAACAATGCCCATTGAAGACGCATCTGCGCAGGCAGCTTCTCGATAAGCTCCTGTATTAGTAGCGGATTATTCATGTGCTACTCAAGCCCTGATGCCTCCATAGTCGCAGTTAAATTTTTTATCCCGAGCGCAAAGGTTACCAAAGTATCCAACTTATTAACATTGACAGGTGAAGAAGCACGTAGCTTAACCAGCAAATTATTTATTATCTGCTCTGGTCTGCCGAACACCATTCGTAAAGTAGAAATTATCTCCGGCACAAGAGCCGGAATCATCAGCTTACTGCTTACATATTCAAGCGCTTTTCCCTTTAAAGCACGCTGCAACCTAAGCAGATTCTCGTCGTTGCTAAATCCACACAGTCGCGTTGAGTTCTCAAAGCTGCTAAGAAATAAAGGCCATTCTTCTAGCTTGCCACCAAAGATAGGCAGATCCTTTGGCACCACGTGTCGGGCGCTTATTTGCTCCGGTCTCAAACCGGCAACACTCCCCGCCGCTGTTGTGCGAGCCTGCATCCGCGCCCTTTCTTCCTGACCTATAACCAGATTACCTTGCCGTTCCTCAGCCCTACCTACATCGCCCTGGAACTTGCCGCTTACCCATTCCACAGCTCTACTTTACTTTAATGCTTCTTCACCAACTTCGTCGTCCGACTCCACCGCACTCTCATATCTGTGCATAATTTCAAATTTCTGTTCTAAATACGCTAATTCAGCCTTTTTCTTTTCTTCAAGGCGCATCAGTTTTATTTTCATGAACCGTTTCGATTTCCCCGAACTACAACTACTTGCTACATCAATCTCGTTACGTACCTCTTTCGCATAATTCTGCATGCCAATTTCCTGATAAGCTGTTGTTGTTGCGGCTGGTACAGTCTTTGTTGTACTTGTTGATGCATTGAGGCATTTACTACAGCTCCAAGCCTTTTCAACTATGTCCTCCGACACACCTGCGCACGTAAAATGCGTCCATCCATCACACACGTCGCACTGAACCATCCGGTCCACTATCCGGCTTTTCACACATGTTGCAACTCGCCGTCGCGCTCGTGTCCTTTAACACATTCTTTTTCGTCCGTCCCATTTTTCAAAAGTAACTGTTCTTATTTGCAACTCACGCCAAATTTGTATCACATTTTTTCGACGTTCACTGCTGCAGAACACACACTCGATGTTTCCAAGAAATGCGGCAAATATTTAAAAGAAATGTTGGCGGTCCAACCAATTTGTTTAGCACGGTGTGAATTCGTTACACCAAAGGGGGGGCTTTTAAATCTTTATTTAATAAATCAATAGTTAAATTTAAAATACATTTTGGGGTATAATATACTTACATTTGGTTTTCCCAACCGGTTTCTTTTAAGCTTAGATGTAATGAAGCCGAAAATCGTTTCCTTTAATGTCAACAAACTGACAGTAGCGAGGGTTGCCAATAGCAACAAAGGAAAACCAAAGGTAAGTTTATACGGTGTTTACTCTGTCGATTAATTCTGTGTTGATGGTGGCGGAGTTTCCAACACAAGCATCGACCACTTTCTGCAGGAAAACATGCGCTGCGACAAGATATTATCACTTCTTCGGCACCTGCAATAAAAACACAAAAATTGTAAATAGTTAAATAATAAGACCTATTCTTTTGAACACATTTCAAGAGTGGTTGTATATTTTTTGTTAACGTAGTGCTTAATTTGCTTTATTCAAAGATGGCTTGAGTAATTGGTGAATTGAGAAGAAAATACGTTTTCTCACTGCAAATTCACAACTCTCAACTCATTCTTCTTCGCCATATTCTTTGTTTACCCGTTGCCACAAATGTCATTCTACGGGAATGCGCAATCTTGTATTCTATCGTTCTTGGATAGATACGGATCTGAATAAGCGACGGCAACACGTCTGTTCGTCATAAGTATACGATTTCGAACTCGCGTAAATGTACATTTGCTAAATGCGATAGCATGAACGCTCTTCGAAAAAGTATGTTAGAAAATGCTAAATGTTGCATTTTAAATGCAGCTAAAAGGCTGCATAACATTAATACAGTTGCTTAATTGCACTGCTGGCAGTTGTACTTAAACACGACTATATAAAATTATACGCCAAATTAAAGGTATTTTTATGGGCTTTCCGACAAACCTACATACTAACATACATTTTTATAAAAAAATTGCCATAATTTCGTTTTTTTTACTTTTTCTCAAAATATGTTCGCATTATATACATAGATATATATATTGAATGAAAGGTCTTTCAATTACCTTTCCAACTGTGTCCATATTTCATATTATCAGTTTAATAGTTTTTGAAATATAACCTTTTTAAAATGTTGAAACTTCGACGGTTAGCCTCCCTATCGCCGCCCCTGTCAATTGCACCAACAAAATGATTACCATTAAACTCAGCATAAAGGGGTGCACCACCTCCACGTTTTCTTGTTTCTCTAGCTCAAGGGTCCGTATTCTTTAGGTATGCCGAAAGGTTAAAGGACTTGAAGGTACAGGCGCATGTGTACTCGTCCCTTTTCTTCACACCCCCTCTTTGCCAAGCGAGCAGAATTTAGTTCAATACTTATATTGTGTAAAAGCAGTCTTTAATTTTCTAGAATTAATTAATTTATTTATTTATTGAAAAATAGCCTACGGCTAATACAATTATTCTTATATACAAATAAAATTTCAAAATTAACAGCCAGTTGTCTATGACATAATAAATTTTAATTTTAAGCTAAATTATCTTATTGATTTTTGTTTCAGTCTTGTGAATTCACTAGGTACTTGCATTTTTATATCTCTTACGAAGTATTCATACATACATACCCTGCAGGAATTTGAACTGGCCTTAAACTATCCTTTAGATAGTTCCTAGTGTACCCAGGACTAGTCCCTCATAAATCCCCCAGCAATGTTCTCAACTGCCACATTTAACTTTAGCGTGTCATTGGAGAGGGACTAGTCAAAAAAAAAAAAACTGACCGGAGGATGGTCTGCTTTCAGTCAGTTACAGCCCACCGAAACATTGACTCGTTTCAGTCTAGCCGTTTCCGGTCAGCTCCTGTCTAATCAAACATTGACTTGTTTCCATCTAGTCCGATTTCGGCCAGTTCCTGTCTAGCCATACATTGACTTGTTTTAATCTAGTCCAAATAAGAACATATTTTTAGATTATACATATGTACTAGCTGTTTTTTATTTCAACTCGAATTGAACATTGGTACTTAGCTCTATTTTTTTTTTTAAATACAGTTAGCAACCCACAAGGTGCAAAAAAAATTATAAAGAAAATTTAGATGCATTCAATCTAAAAACAATTTCAATACATTTCTATATAAATATATACAGAGGTATTTTTCGACATTTGTTCACGTTTGATTAAACAAATTATGAACTTCTGAAATTAGTTAGTCACAAAAAGTATAGGTACAGAGAGTTTTTAAATATTCTTTTCGTTAAGTCTTTATACAAATATTATTAATACTATGACAAAAAGCCCAAAAATCAGAGTCCCAAATTACCAAATTTATGATTATTCTGATTTTTGGGGTTTTTGTCGTAGTATTAATAATATTTGTATAAAGACTTAGCTAAAAAAATATTTAAAAAACAGTTGACCGTATTGCAAAAAACTCTCTGTACCTAAACTTTATTGCCTAACTGTAGGTACATGTAGCAAAAAATTTATCCATTAACTTACAGTGGCTCACAGTCAAGTAAGCCAGTTGCTTTAATTCAAGAAAACGACTTTGCAAAAAAACGTAGTAAATACTGTAAAAAATATCACAGGCTCATATCGACTGTGAGCCACTGCACGTACAAATGTATACAGGATTACAAAGAATTTACATAAAGTATGGGCACAAGAAAAGTGGTCGCACAGAATCAAGCGCAGCTTTTTTAACCCAAATTTACGTATAATAAACAAAACTAACTATGTATGTACTATGTACATATACAAAAACATCTTTGAATTGCAAAAATACATTTTTGTTTTATAACGTTTTAGTGCGCCCAGTTTTTTTGTAGATATAATGTAAGAAGTGTTTAAAACTTCAACAAAAAAAAAACTGGATTAAAAAAAGAAAATTCATTATGGCTAAGTTCGACTTCTAGTGTTTGCACTACATACATATGTACATGCATGGGTGTATTTATATTGTTTCGTTTATGTTTGGAACTGCATTTTCTTTAGATGAATCCTTTGGCTAACGGAAACTCTTTTTCTTTTCTTTGTGTATAGCAATAAAAGACTTGTTCTAAATTACTTAAATATATTTCTGGTTGTATTTCCAATAGTTCGTCCAAATTTTTCAGCTCCTCTGTTGATTTTATAGGGAAAATACCTTTCAATGTTTGCAATGCTTTATTTTGATGCGTTAATTCCATGAGAAGTACTTTGTGCTCAGCCAAAATATCGCTAAACTTATCAGATTGCTGTCTGGATTTTTCTGTGGGAGATGTACATATGTATGCACATATTTTTTTTAAATATATAAAATATACTTAGTTAAAATTAATCATTACCTTCCATCGCACTTAATTTTTCGTAAAGTTTGTCGCATTTTTCATTTAATTGCTCGCATAGATGACATGTACCTAAGGAGTAAAGAGAGTGAACGTAATATATTGTGTACAAATACAAGTGAGATATCTTAGCAATAGACGTCATCCTGGGCCACAGCTGCGATCATCTGTTTTTTATAGGTGCTTATTTTGGTCCAAACTGCGCTTTTTTGACCTGAGTTGCATTAAATAGTCTCTTAAAACTTGTTAGTATTTGTTGTTCAAATGGCATCATATATGCCCAAAAACTTGAAAAATATTAGATGATTACTTTTTAAAAATGCTATTTATAAAATTTGGTTTTGATTGCGACATTAGAAATATTCAGATTATAAAAGTTTTTCACATATGCTTTAAGATTTTAAAGCTTTTAAAAAGTACGGTAGAATGCAATAATGTGCTTGAATTTGTTTGCTTCTTCGTCAGCTTATTCGTTTGCAGACTAGAAAAATGGCGAACAGCTATCAAAATACTGATTCAAAATACACATCTTTCACTGGACACACAAATGGGTGTGCGCAGCAAAATTCAGCCCTAATGGTAAGTTAATTTCATCGTGCGGCGACAAGTTAAGAATTTGCGATACATTTTCAGGCGAATGTATGCGAACGTTCACCGGGGGAAGAGGTATGGGACGACAGCTGGCATGGCATCCAGACGGCAATCTGGTGGCTTTAGCATTAATAGCCCGAACACAATGAAAACGACGAGCTACAAACCACAGCTGTCAAATTATTTTAACACGTACTCTTATGTAGATAATTATTTTGGCGACGACCGGGCTACGCGACGGCTGTGGTTGTGGCCAGATCAGATCTATTTCTATTTTTCTGGCGACAGATAAGGTTCTTCCTCTTCTTTTATGTCAAACTCTACAAATTCATGATGTCGCTGCCGCGTTCAAAGAAATCATGTCGCCATCGACAAAGCGCTTAGATAATAAAGATGACAAATTGGAAGCTGTGGTCGGTAGCTCGTCGTTTTCAATGTGTTCAGAACTTAAGTTGTAACCGCGTTAACTGCCGTCCCTAAATTGGAGCGCTAAGCGTTGCGTTATCCATTGTCAACGAGTGTCATCGCGCGCTATACCCAAATCAACGCGTCGTCAATTTTGACGTTTTCTCATGTCCTCTCGTTTTTATTCTCGTTTCCTTTTTCACTTCTTTGTCCGTTCTCTTTCTCTTCGTCTTCTGCATCCAACTTCAGCACGTAACGCCCTGTCAAAAATGAAAATTCCATTTGCTCGGCGTTAGCGCCGCGTTATTGTGGGATGCTTCATACAAATTGTATGGGCATGAGGATTTTTGACAGTTGCTTGGCGCTTGACGCGCCAATTTAGGGATGGCAGTAAGATATTTGACAAAGCTGAAGGCGAGCTAATACAGTGCATTCGTCGTCGGAGAATGATGTTGCATTTACCCAAGTGGAAATTTCTTGGTGACTGGCGGCGAACACGATACAATAAGATTGCTTGATTTATTAGAAAGTCGGCCAATTTATACACGGTAGTGGTGCACTTTAGTGGAACCATATAATATAAATTTTTTCCTGTATTCAACAGTTGCTCGTTTGGAAATCTAATTTGCATACATTTGAT